TTTTCATTTTCTAAGGAATTTTTATTGCTGCTTTTCTTGTTACAATAGCAATACATATTTCAGGGATAAAATACAGATATGTGAGAACTGGCAAATAGAAATGATACACAGACTCTCCATGTGGAAATGATAGCCAGTATCCTATTGGTTTATTATCTTCTAGAGTCCAAATATGGGAACGAGTTTGTCTATGAAAGTTAGAGGACACTTCAGAGAGGAAATAATATCTTGTCTGGATCTTTGAGGATTTTGAGGCTGTTTGCTGGTCATAAAGGGGGAGCAGGTGGGCTGAGAATGGGGGTGTACAGAATGAGGAACATTTTAAAGTCAAGAGCATGGAATTCATTATGTTTTATCACCTAATATTTTAACTTAATATATTAATTTAACTTCTGTATTATGAGCACACAATTTTTAAGTGAAATTTTTGGTGAAATGTATACATAGGAAATATATATTGTCTATTACTCTTAGGAATGACCAGAGTGGGTCTTTTTGAAACTGCTTTCTGAAACAGTTGTTGTGGAAATATGAACCAGCCAACCACAACTGCCTGATACCACCATCCTCAAGGGCCTATTTCTGAAGACTGGGCTTGCTGCTTGCCCTGCTCACTCAGTCCCAGAGCACAGCAAATGTGATTGTCTGAACAGTGATTTTCCTCCATGAGTGAAAATTCCGACATTTTTCTACCTTTGCTTGATTTGTTGTAATTAAAGAAGTATATATATGTATATATATATATATATCAGAAATTAGAATTCAATTGGACCCAGAAAGTTAACTGCAGGTCTTAATTTTCAAACAATGTGGGTATATTGTGGTAGAGAAGTCAATGGCCACACTATGAATCCCAGGATGTAGGTCAAGTAAGGGATTCTGTACTGGAAACCATTGTTGATAGTCCTGTTGGAATCTTTAGCTTTAGGAAGATTATGTTGATGGTTAGATGTCATCAGTGTCCTGCTAAGTGATTTTTGACCTTTTGTTTGTGTTATGGGTGAAGTGTACCAGCGAGTCTGTATTTCTGACTCAGAATTAAAACAAGAAATTCTTAGATGTGACACTACCCACTCACCTTTCTTTCACTTTCTATGTCAGACCTGACCAAATGTTTAGAGAAGGATCTTAATCTGCACATTCAGGTTTCATCAAGTGTTGCTTGCAAAGGCAGTGATGACTCCTCTTAGTTAAAAACAGACCTTCAGTCTTACTGTTTTTTTTTTTTTTTTGCTTGCTACCATGAAGTATGAGAGTACTATTTTTCTGAAATGTATGAAATGATTGGTAATTTCTTCCTTCCTAGAGAATAAACTGCACTGAAGTCTCTCCATAAGGCGCATTCTTTCAGTGTGACTCATTTTTTGAGAATTGCTTTTGGAAATTGCTTGATGAAGTGTGTTTCTGTCCAGTGGGTTGTTTACCAGAGAAGGGATTCAATGCACTGTGTCCCTACAGTGGTTTCAGTGGTAATAGAGAGTGTTCTCTAGATTCCACATGAAGTATTAAAGAGCTTGGGGTTCAAGTGGTTCCATGATTAAGTAGTGTTATCTATTGATTAAGTATCAGTTATCTATTACATGATAATGCTATGTAATCAGCTACCAAACCTTAATAAAACTTAAAAAACACATGCCAAGTTCCACTTCCAGCATGAGAGGGTGACACGCTGTCCCTACCCCCAAATGTCCCTACCCCCAATTCCAGAGCCAAGGCTCAGACTTTTGCCCTAAGAGAAGCAAGCCATAAAACAACACTAAATCTCTTACCAAAGGAACTGATTTCACTTGCAAAGGATATTGGTAAATATCCTTTGATGTTAGGACAACCTGGCCCAACAACAAAGAACGATCTAGTCCAAAATGTCAGTAGTGGATGTATAGCTGAGGGGCAGAGCTACTGACTGCAAAACATCAATGGTGTTGAGAGTGATAAATTCTGCTTTAAGTCATGTGTGTCGATTAGAATTACAATTTGGGGCGGGGGTATGTGCTTAACATCTGTCTTTTCCACTAGACTAGATATTCCATAGGAATGAGAGAATGTCTTTGTGGACATTGATTATCCAGCACATAAATCAGAGTCAGATACTTTGTAGCTGCACAGTAAATATCTGTTAAATGAAAGAAGGAAGAGCAGTCAGGAAGTAAGGAGAAAGCAAAATGCTTTATAAGGATATATAAACATTTCTGGGTGTAGAAGATACTGCCATTGTGCTGCAGGTAGCCCACCAGCCCTTACCATTGTGATGCATATTTGCCTGACTTTCAAATATCAGAGCCTCTTTCTTAGAGTGAGGACTTTCCTTGTTACCCAATAGCAGGAGAGTTCAGAATGCTTGGGGCTTTATCTTCCCCCTGAAAAGTGTATTTTTGAGTTTTCCTAAAACTTCCTCAGTGACTTTAAATTTATTAGTGAATAATGCTTTTTGCTCCCTTCTCTCAATTTCTCACCTCCCTACTAGAGTTTCCTGGAAACACTTCCTGTGGTGGGCTAATTGTCCTCAAATGTAAGCAGATCCGAATCCCTTAAACCTGCGACTGTTCGCTTACACAGCAAAGGAGAATTCACATAGACGACTTAAGTTGTGCATTTTGAGATGGGAGACTATTCTGTATAATCTGATAGAGTGTTAGTTACAAACACATATGTCCTTATAGGAGGGAGGCAGCAGTAGATTTGGCACAGAAGGAAATCTGATCACAGAGACTACACTGCTGACTGTGAAGATAGAGGAAGGGGCCACAGACAAGCAATGTACACATGTCGTTTTAAGCCACCACACTTGTAGAAATTCATGTTAGTGACCACAGGAATGTAATACAGATTTGGGTACCTGGAGGTGGATTGCTGCTGTAACATATCTCAAGAGTGGCGCTGACCATGGACTTGGATAATTCTATAAACTGGAATCATTTTGAGGAACATGATAAGAAAAATCCTAGATTGTCTTGAACATTGGCTGGAAATAGGGATGTTGAATGTGCTCCTGGTGAGACCTCAAAAGAAAGTGGGGAATACAGTAGAGAAGATCTAAATCAGCACCAACAGTCTGTTGGTAGAAGTATGAATGTCCAAAGTTTGCTGGTGAAGATGTACAAGAAATTCAGAATAGGGACTCCCTGGTGGCGCAGCGGGTTGAACGCAGCACTGTGAAGCTGTCCACAGCCTCTGCAGTGTAGGTTCAATTCCCGGCCGTCCAGGGAGATCCCCACATGGTGCGGCAAATCTCTTCTGTCTCGCCCGCTGCTCCCCTCAGCAGTGCTTTCTGTCCGTCTGCCTGTTCTGCTCCCTGTTCTGTCTCTGGTGAATCTTCTCAATCTCCCGCGCCTCTGGCCTGTACCCCAGCTCTTGTATAAATAAATAAATTTAAAAAAAAAAGAAATTCAGAATATAAGAGGGTGGAGAGGGAATTCTTGTTATACAGTGGCAGAAATTTGAGATGAATTGTGTCCTGTAGTTATGCAGAAGCAGAACTTATAAGCCGTGAATTGAAGATTTAAACTGAGCAGATTTCCAAGAAAAGTACTGAAGTCATGCCCGGGTTTCTTCTTAGCACTTAACGGTAAATGTTAGAGGAAAGACGTAGATTGAGGATGCTGTTAAGCAAAAAAGGAATGAAGACTTGAAAATATGAGAAGTTCTCAGTCTACCCTGACTGAAAAAGACATTAAATTGACAAGACACAATGTCAGAAAAGCATCAAGGATGAAGATAGAATCAAGGGTGAAGCTGGGCAACCTTTAGCTAATGCCTCTTATGGATTAAAAGATCACAATATTTAATCAGAGGACTTTTTGGAGTGACATGGGGTGTATGTGGATCATGAATATCCCCAGCCATCTAAGCAGCAGGACTAGGCTGGGTCTGTGAATGAGCATCTTGGCTAAAGGTACAAATTTCCATGCCATGTGAGGGAGATTGCGAGGATTCTGAGTATATCAATGGAAACAATGCCATCTTCCATTGAAAGGACAGAGAGGAGATGACATTTTAGGAGCTGTGTGACTCCTAAAATTTGACAAGCAGAAAACAGTTGGATAAAACTACTCAACTTCAAACATGTGCTTCATTCAAAACAACGGAAAGATGATTCTGAGGGCTGATGTCAGGGCTTCGAGGGCAGAGCTATGGACCAGGAATAGCCATGAGATCTGGAGGAAGGGCCTCAAGAATGAAAAGATTATTCCTAGGTCTTGAAACCTGCTTGGATGTTGAAATTGCTTGGGTCAGACTCATTTTTTTCTTTTTACTTCCTCTCCTTTGGAATGGAAATATCTATAACTGTTATCAGCAGTAAGTGAGCCCTAAACAGCAGAAACATAAGGGGAAGATTAAAATGAGAAGAAATATCTCTTGGTGCTCTGGCTTCACCTAGGACAGCCAAGAAAAGGCATCACTGGGCATTAACTGAGCACAGGTACAGGTGTTCACCTCTCTTGACACATGAATCCATTGAGTGGATCACTGTGACTTCCCAAATGATTAAAAGGTACTTTTCAAACAGTATCACATCAGGACTCTCCCACAGATAGGAAGTGAACATGTGTTGAAACATTGTCTGTACTCATGAGGGAATGAAAACCTAGCATAATGGGTTCAAAAGAGAATCTGAAGATTAGGTACAGGAATACAGATTACAAATATTTAAATGAATATGTCAACCAAAGCAAACTGGTTTCATTACAAAAGGGGGGATGGTTTATCTCTACCAGACAAATATTTTACATCTTTATCAATAACCTACCACCAAAAAAAGGTGGTAAAAGAACTCAAAGACAGTCTAAGGCTAGAGTTATATAACATGGAGCAGTGAACTAAAGCAGGGGAAAGTTTTTCATTGAAACACATTTATTTCTGTATCATTAAAGTCAAGCAATGAAGTGCAGTACTCTCAAAATCAGGGCCCCAAAGTCCTGGATGTTTCTAGGCTGAGGCCTGATAAGGTCACCATGGGCACCAGCGGCTTCACAAAGTCTAAGATGTCATAAAGGCAGCTCCTGACCAATGAGGGGCTAGCGATGGGGATAGAGTGGGCCAGCCTCATACCTTCAGGACTTCAAACTAGAGCCATAAACAGCAAACATCATGTCAGGGAAAGAAGGTCGTGAGAATTGTCAGACTCCAGTCCACTCGATAATAGCCGAGTTCCAGTGCCCCGTGAGCTTCGTGGATCGCCTTCTGCAGGAGAACCAACATTCCCAATGTCTGAATTTATCCAGCCCAGATTTTCTCCTTGCCATGCTTGACTACCTCACCGACTACATCCTAGAGCTGATAGGCCATGAGGTCAACAGCGGTTTTCAGCTCATCGCTCGAGATATGGCGGGACTAGGCAGCAACGGAGAGCCGCACTACTTGTTGAAGGATGCAGCCTTCTCTCTGTTTGACGAGACTCCGGGATCCAGGAGGACTGGCTAAAGTCGGGGTTCCACGGCCTGGCTGGTGCCCTCACAGTCTTTACCAAAGACCAAAACTTAGAGCTGAGGAAGCCTGGCCTCTGTCATTGACAAATGCTATTAAAGGATTTAAGTCCATTGCAATGTTTTTGACTTTTTGTTATTTTAATTTTCAGTTGACGGTGTCTGGGAGATATCTTGGATGAGCTATCTGGCGGTGGGGTGGCCAAAGAGGAGTGGGGTGGGGGAGGTGGTTAGAAGGTGTGGTCAGTGTGGAATGATTGACCCAATCGGTGATTTTGGGGAGCCCTTTCTATGGGTGGCTGGGGAGCGGGGAGAGTGACCCTGGTGGGTGTAGCTGGCTGAGGTCCTGGAAGAAGAAGACTTTCTCACTGTTTCTGAGCAAGGCAAGGCCTTGAAGTTGGCGGGGGCATCTCTGGGGTGTTGAATTGCCAGAAAGATGGTCATAGCTGGGTGGGGCTGAAGACCAGGAACAAGGTGATGGATCTGGAGGGGTGGGTGGAGAGGGGGGCATGCAGTTTCCGTGAACTGGGCCTCGTGACGATTTGGGCTTCACTTGAAGACTGAGGAGTGGGGGCAAGAAGCCATAAAGGAGTGATGGCCGTGTGGATTTCCTTTTCCATGTCGTGCCTCAGTCCAAACCAGGAAGTCACACAGCTAATGTTAGTGCTGTGATGCTTTCTGCATAATGTCGCCTTCTGTCCCCTTGTGAGCATTGATAAATTAAATGGTCTTACTACATAAAAGTTACTCTGGCCTAAGACAGGCAATCCAAGGAGTTTTAAAGAAAAAGCAGCCCCTGTCTCCCTCCATGCAGCTCAGACGCTTAGGCGCGCTTCCCACGGTGCCGCTGGGCCTGGCTCTCATTGCTGGCAGTTTGGGCCACTGGTGTGAAAACCACAGCCTGCTAGGCCTCATGGAGGGACGGGAGGAAGAGGCCAGGGGGGCATCTCTGAACCGGACAGACCTCGCCCTGGCTTCCTCTCTGGTCCCCTGTGTCTGGTGACGCCGCCTCCCTGCCTCCTGCCATCTCGTAAAGCTGGTGGAGCCGACTTCACCCTTGGTGCTTCCCAGGATGCCCTGACACTAATGGAGCTGGGCTTCCGCTTAGAGCTGGCTGGTATAGGTGCTTGTATAAATCCAAGACACTCTTCTTGCCACATAAAGCCCATTAAACTAGATATTTACAGAAACCTCATCATCAAGTTGTCCACCCCATGAGTTTGTGATGTATATAGAGAGCCCGCAGGGTACAAGGGTTCTCTGTTCCTCATGTGCTCGCCCGCACTTGTCTGTTTTGTCTTTTTGATATAGACAAAAAGTGGTGTGAGGTGATAGCTCACTGCGGGAATAGCCCAGAATCCCTTGGTCCCTGTGTCTGACAGTTCCTGCAGGGTATGGCTAAAGGGAGACTGCCTAAGTGTTTAGAAATAGAATAGAATGTAAGAAATAGAATTTAAGAGAGAGGGAACTTGTGTATGAACATCAATGCATCGTTTCCCTAGAGGATTTGCATTTCCCTAACAATAGGTGATGATGAATATCTTTTCATGTACCTGTTGACCATTTGTATGTCTTACCTGTCTAATTTTTTAAAACTTTATTTTGGGTTATGATGTGGCTTATTTAAGCAGAGAATATTCTCTCAGATATTTCATAGAGGTCACATCAGAGGATTTTATCAAAGGCCAGAGAAGTCATTGTGTGTGGATGCACCATGCGGGGTTCGCAGGTCTGTGTGCTCCAGTGTCACTCGACACCTGACCCCAACCTGCAGTTGTCAACACTAATAGTCACTGTCACACCTCTGGGTAACCAGATGTCCTGGGTTCTTTCATTCTCTGGAATGAAGTCTGGAATTTGAGGTGATATTTGGAGATTGAGTGTTAATAACCTCTTGTTGCAAGCACTCTGGAGAGGGGACGTGGGAGAACCGGGTGGATTGGTCCTGTCACCCCTTTAAGAATGGTGCTTCAGCTAGGCTTGTGGGTTCCATAGGACACATGGGTCACGGTCAGCATAGCAAGCAGAGAGGAGCCCTGCCTTTGAGAATCCATGAGCCATCCAAGTTTGACCCTTTGTACATTTCTGATGGTGGTAAGGATTTGCTGTAGTTCGGAGGCCATGGAGAGGACACCATTGACAGCCTGTGCCCTGTTGGGAGTGGGAAAATCATAACCAGAGTAGGGCTAGAGGCTGGGGAGGGTGTGGCTGCCAAACTAGATCTGTGATCAAAAGCAGTGTAAGGGCAGGCCAGGGTCAGGCACAGATCAACATGGCAAAAATATGTATGAGGTGAGGTGAACCCAAGAGTAGAGCCTGAGGGAACTTGGATGGTAATGTAACTTGGTGTTGGCATGAATACAGGCCTGGGAGCTAGGCCAGAGGATTTTTGAAAGCCCAGAATCCCTTGGTCCCTGTGTCTGACAGTTCCTGCAGGGTATGGCTAAAGGGAGACTGCCTAAGTGTTTAGAAATAGAATAGAATGTAAGAAATAGAATTTAAGAGAGAGGGAACTTGTGTATGAACATCAATGCATCGTTTCCCTAGAGGACAAATTACAAAGTAGCCTCTCACAGATCTAATCTAGGCAGCAGATGGGCTCATTAGGCCTACACTGATGTTTTTAAAGGAAAATTGATCAGTAGCCAAAATTCAAAAATTTACTTTGATTACCGGCTTCTCTTGTGAAATCATAGTGCCTGAGAATGACATGGTCAGAGGCAGATGAAGATGACTAGGTGGCTCCGCCATTAATTTTGGGCCTTTCTGGTTTGCCAGTCTTCACCTTTCCCTATTTTATCTCATGTATGACTTACGTGGCTAATTTACAGTACCAGCTGGCTCCTAAAGATACCTGAATTTATTGTTGTCATAGTAATTTAATTTTAAAACCACTCTTTTCTAATTTTTTTGTATGTGTGTAGAACTGGGGTGTTAGGCCAGAGGTGTGGAGAGGTGAGAGGATGCAGAGACAGAGTGGGGAGCAGAGCAGGCAGAGCTACTGAAATACACTGCTGAGGGGAGCAGCTGGTGAGACAGGAGAGGTCTGCTGTGCCTCTGTGGGATAGCACTCTGGCTGGGGATCGAACTCAAGCCATAGCAGTAATATCACTGAGACTTAAACCCTAGGCCACCAGGGAGACCCCTTTCCTTTGTTTTAAGGAGAATAAATAAAGGCATATAGATGTCAGATCAAAGGTATATTTTGGTGAGATATAAAGTCACTGCTACCCAGGCAGAATACTTTTAAAGCAGTGTGGGATGCTGAAATATGGCTTCTTGAAGTATTCAGTTTATAATTCTAGAGCCTGTACATGGTACTTTATATTTTACAAATGGGAGTTTGAAGGTGTAATTAACTTAAAGATATTGAGATGGAGAGATTATCTTGGATAATCATAGTTGACCCTAGTAATCAATGTGTCCTTCTATGTGGGAAGCAGAAATGAAAGACAGTGTGACAACTGAAGCAAGATGCTATACTGCTAGCTTTGAACTTGAAGAAGCCATGAGTCAAGAAATGCAAATGTTTCAGCTCTAGAAGTTAGAAAAGGGAAAGAAACTGTTCCACCCAAGACCTTCCAAAGACCATTGTAGCAGAAGTATACACTCATACTTAACAATGATAACTAAGAGACTTACTTATCACTAAACCAAACAATTAAACTAATCTTGTATGTCAAAGATTTACATAAATTAGTTGAATTTGATTTATTATAATAGCTGTGAGTTTCTGAGAAAATATATATTGTTTAAATGTACACTTAAGGTAATTAGGAATGTTCAGTTGATATAAGCAATTATATAGATAGGTAATCAAAGCAGAGGCCATTTAAGAGATCTTGTAATCTAGTATATTAATATCATCCAGAGGTAAGAAAACTTTATACTTACAATTGGAGGTGAAGATATTTCTGAATTGCAGACAGATAGACATATGGGCACAGAGAGATAGAAATTATAGCTTCAATTCTACAATTTCAGCCGTGAATCAAGTATGAACCAGAAAACCTCACCAGTTCAGATATTAAAAAGCTGTTTTTCTCCTAGAGGGTATTCTAGGAGATTCTTGGAAATTCTTAATTGATTTGAATAGATAAATAGCCAAAGACTGAAGAACCAGATTCTCTGTTGTCTCTCACCTATCTCTACAAACCCATTCATAGAGATCTCCTAAAACCGAATGCTCAACCATTATGCTAACGTTGGGAATAACTTCGAGCTGTAAATTAGCAAAAGCACAAAGGAAAATTAAAATCAGTAAAATGAAATCGACAAAGTGCCATGGGTGCTTTTGATTCCTCTAGAAGCAGCACTACACAACATTCTGGAGTTTTAACTGAGAACGAGGCATACTTCTTTGTCTTTGATGTTTGCCTGACTGATAGGTGAATCCTCTGGGCATATCAGCATGACCTTCAAAATGGTTTAAAGGCATTTTCAAACAGTAAAATCATGACACTCATATAGATATGAGATAGAAATGTGTTCAAAGAATCTCTAACTCATGAGCAGTTGGCAGACATTGTAACCAATTCAAAAGAGAATCCAAAGAACATAGAAATATTGATTATATTTAAATGTGAAGGCCAAATCAGTTTTATTACCACGTCTGAGGAAATAGACCACCATTTGTAAAGTCATTTAGTGTGTCCATTTGTGACCAGTAACTTATAAATGGATGTAAAAGACAATATTAGACTAGAATCAGGTAACTTGGAGTCATGTTCTAAAGACAGGGCAGTGTTTCCATTGAAACCCCCCCCCTTTTTTTTTGCTAGAAGTTTAAAGTCAGGTAGAAAATTAAGAGTTCCCTCAAAAAGACTGTCTGGTTATCAGGGAGACTTGGTTGCTATTATGGACATTTCTTGGCCAGTCCTAATCCCCATAGATACTGATGATATCACAAACAGTACCTAGTAACAAGGATAGCCAACCACCTGACCAATGAATTTTGGGGCATGTGGTAGGAATTAGCACGGGTGTCTTAAAGGCCCAGCTGGGCTATCGATCCTGGTGGATCAGGGGCAAAACCCAGCAAACATCATGCCTGGGAGAAAAAGGCACTGGCATTCTCAGAGCAGAGTGACTGCTTACCGCCAGCCTTCTG